CCGGCAACTGATCTGCCTTGCCAGAGAAGAGCGCAATGATGGTGCCAACTTGGGCCAGTGAAGCAACATCCTCCACAACTAGATTGAAGAACAAAACAACAGCAACTTGTCTGTTCCCCTTCCCCCCAATTCCCCAGCGCTGTTCCCATCCCCCCAATTCCCCAATAAAAAAAATCTAAAAAAAAAATACCAGCAAACAGAATTCAGGAGCATATTAAACGGATTACACACGGTGACCAGGTGAATTTGTTCCCAGAATTCAAGGACAGTTCAACATGAAAATCAATCAATGCGATACACTGTATTAAAAGAATGAAGGGGGCTGGCCGAGAGGCTCAGTTGGTGAGGAGAGCGAGCTCTGAGCAACAGGGTCACTGGTTCAATTCCCCCATGGGCCAATGAGCTACGCCTGAGCTAAGCTGCCACTGAGCTGCCAAGAGGAGGCAGGATATCTCAGCTGGTGACAGCATGTGCTCCTAACAACAAGGCTGCTGGTTCAACTCCCGCATGGGATGGTGGACTATGCCCACCTGCAACTAAGATTGAACATGGCACCTTGAGCTGAGCTGCCCTGAGCAGCCGACTGGCAGCCGGATGGCGACTGGACTTGGAGCTGAGCTAGCTGCGTCCTCCACAACTAAGATTGAAGGACAACAACTTGGCTGTTCCCCTCCCCCAATTCCCCAACAAAATCTTTAAAAAAAAAAAAAGAATGAAGGGTAAAAAACCACATAATTATCGGGCTGGCCGAGTGGCGCGTTGGTTAGGAGTTGGCTTGGGACGCCAGCTCTGAGCAGCAGGGCCCCGGTTTGGATCCCACATGAGGGCCAGTGACACTGCCCTCTAAAGCTAAGATGGTGAACAACAGCTTGACCTGGAGCTGGGCTGCCATGAGTCGCCGACAACGGCGTAGGCTGCAGGGGGGCTGGCCGGCAGCGGGCGTGAGCTGCCGTGAGTGGCCGTCCAATGGCCGGCGAGCAACTGCCTCAGCCAGGGAAGAGCGCAATGATAATACCAACATGGGCCAGTGAAGCGACGTCCTCCACAACTAGACTGAAGAACAAAAGGACAGCAACTTGTCTGTTCNGTGAAGCGACGTCCTCCACAACTAGACTGAAGAACAAAAGGACAGCAACTTGTCTGTTCCCCTTCCCCAATTCCCCAATAAAATCTTTAAAAAAATATATATTATCTCAACTGATACTAAAAAAGCATTTGACAAAATTCAACATATTTTTTTAATAAAAACACTTAATAAACTAGGAAACTCCCTCGACATAATGAAGGGTATCCATGACAAGCCCACAGCAAACGTCTAGTCAGTGGTGAAGCCTGAAAGCTTTTCCTCTACGATCAGGAACAAGCCCAGGATGCCTGCTTCTGCCACTTCTGTTCAACATAGTACTGGAGGCTCTAGCCAGAGTAATTAGGCAAGGAGAACAAATAAAAAATCCAAATTGGAAAGGAAGAAAAGTAGAATAATGTCTTTCCACAGAGGACATGAGCTACATGAAGAAAATTCTACATATTTCACATAAACTGTTAGAGCTAATAAACAAATTCAGCAAAGTTCCAAGACAAAAAATCAGCACACAAAAATCAGTTGCATTTCTATGCACTAACAATGAACAATTCAAAAAAACTTTTAAGGGATAATTCTATTACAATAGTATCCAAAAGAAGAAAATACTTAGGAATAAATTAAAGTAAGGAAGTATGTGGAAGACTTGTTCACTGAAAACTACGAAACATCGCTGGAAGAAATTAAAGAAGACCCAAACGAATGGAAAGGCATCCGTGTCCATGGACCGTAAGACTGCATCTTGTCAAGCTGTCAAGGCTGTCCTCAGCGACCTGCAGATTCAATGCAACCTCTCTCCAAATCCCCGTGCTGTTTTTTGTAGAAAGAGAAAACCCATCCTAAAATTCATATGGAATTGCAAAATACCTGCATAGAGACAATAATCTTGGGAAAGCACAAAGTTGGACTCACGCTTCCCTCACTCTAAACTTACTACAAAGCTACAGTAATCAGCAGAGTGTGGTGCTGGCATGAAGATGAACCTATAGCTCCACAGAAGAGAGCTGAGGGTCAAGAAATAAACTCTCACATTTATGCTCAGTAGAGTTCCAACTAGGTGCCAAGACCATTCAATGGGAAAGGGCAATCTTTTCAACAAATGGTGCCGGGAAAACTGATACCCACGTGCGAAAGAATGAAGCTGGATGCTTACCTTACACCACATATAAAAATTAACTCAAAATGGATGGAAGACTTGGTAGAGCTAAAACTATAAAATTCTCAGAAGAAAACAGAAGGAGTTTCATGACAGTGGATTTGGCAATGATTTCTTGGATATGACAGCAACAGATAAACTTGACTTCATTACCATTAAAAACTTGTGTGTGTCAGAGGACACTATCAAGAGAGTGAAAAGATAACCCACAGAATGGGAGAAATTGATATGTCTGGTAAAAGTTTAATATCCAGAATATGTAAAGAACTCCTACAGCTCAACAACTACCAAAAAAAAAACAAAAAACCAGACAACCCAACTGAAAAATGGGCAAAGGCCTTGGACAGTTGTCTAAAGGACACCCAGGCACATGGGAAGATGCTCAGTGCCACTAATCGTTAGGAAATGCCACGCAAAGCACAGCTACCGCTCACAGCCATTATGCTGGCTGTTACGAAAACACGGAAAACAAGAGCTGGCAAGGCTGGAGGCACTGGAACCCTCCCTCACACACTGCTACCAGGAATGTAAAATGGTATAGTCACTGTGGAAAAGTTTGTTCGTTCCTCAAAAAAGCTGGACAGGGCCGGCCGAGTGGCACGATGGTTAAGAGCTGGCTTGGGACACCAGAGGGCCCCGGTTCGGATCCCACATATGAGGGCCAGTGACACTGCCCTCTACAGCTAAGATGCTGAACAACAGCTCAACCTGGAGCTGGGCTGCTCTGAGTCGCCGGGGACAGCATAGGCTGCAGCCCCTGCTGCAGTGGGTTGCAGTTTTGCCCCAATAAAAATCTTTAAAAAAAAAAAAGCTGAACAGAGAATTATTATATGACCCATCAGTTCCACTTCTGGGTGTTTACTCACAAGAAGTGAAAGCAGGGACTTGAACAGATATTTGTACATCCCATTTATAGCAGCATTATTCAAAACAACCAAAGGTGGAAGTAACCCACGCATCTACCAACCAATGAACGGATAAGCAAAGTGTGGTCTATGTACGCGGTGGGACACTGTCCAGCCTGAGAAGGGACACCTGCACACCGGCTACAACAGGCACGCACCTGAGGACATTACGTTGAGTGAGACAACCCAGGCTCAAAGGGCATGTACTATGTGATTCCACTTCTCTGAGGTTCCTGGAGGAGCCAAATCCAGAGACGGAAAGTAGGATGTGGGGGCCAGGGTGGGAGCAGGGGCAATGGGGATCGACGGCTTAATGGTCAGTATTTGTTGAGAAGATAAAAAAGTTGTGCAAATAGATGATGGTGGTGGTTATATATCAGGTTGTCGAAAAAATCATGATGCATTTTTGCAAAAAAAAAACAGAAAAAATACGTCTTGGTTTTTCCGACAGCCCAATGAATTGTGAATGTACTTATTAATGCCACTGAATTGTACACTTAAAAATTATCAAAATGGTAAATTTTACGTTATTTTTACCACAATAAAAGTAAAAGGTGTGGGGGGACAGAAAGCTAATTTTTTGAAGAGAAGAAAAGGAAAAGAGGTGTTTCGTAACTGCCCTTCTGACCCATAGCTGGGATTTCCCAGTCACAGCAGTGTCCGGAAGGGCTTCTGAGGCTGTCAGGACTCTAGGCCCAGTTTCAAGCCTGGGTTTTCTGGGGTTAAGATCTAAATTCAAAGGGATTTCAGCTTCCCGGGAGCAGAGGTCCAGGGCAAGGCAGGAGAGAAACCTGGATGGGGCAGCATGCCCAGGGGCACGCTTAGGGCACAGCCTACTCCCATCAGCGCCTCCTTCTGCAGACACCCCAGGGCGTCCTCCAGGCAACTGGGAGGGTGTGAATGGTGTGGAGCTGTGACAGGCACCCTCGGGCTGCTGCTCCTCTAGGATGTTTATGTTGAAGAGCTACAGTGAAAGTTCTAGCTTAAGGTAGAGTGTGGAGAGGACACAGCCATGGGATCCCATCCCTCAAGCCCACGCAAGCACATCCCTGTCACCCAGGTGTGGCCAAGCCCGGACTGGGTCCAGGACACGGTTCTCTGCAGACTATGCCTGTTCCAGGACCAACCAGAGCCTCCCCTCGGACCCTGGCCCGCCGTCTGCCCACCACCATGCCCACTCACCAGCAGTAAGCCCATGGTGTTGAGCCGGCAGAGCTCCTGGTTGATGCTGGGCGTGTTTGTGTGCAGCAGGGCGGCCATGAGGCGGGCGCCATGCAGACGGGCATTCCCCAGGGGCTCCTCCAGCACGCCAATGGTGGTTAGGATCGCTTTTTTCTGCAAACACAGAAGCATTGCCCGCTGGAACTTTGCAACCCAGCATGACCACTGCTCTCAGCTCAGGTGCCAGCCGCTCAAAGGGCCAGGGCCACAGATCCATGACGGGGAGGGGGTGTGTGTGGGGGCTTCCTCAAGGAAGCGCTACCCGCAATGGGAAATGAGGGGGTCAGGAGGTCTAAGAACCCCACTGCTCCCCACAGGGCCTCTCAAAGGAGCACGTGAGGGTGGTCCGCTGGTCTCAGAAGCCCAGGGCACTCTGGTCTCAGCCTGCCAGCCAAAGGGACGTTCAGGTTGGGCTAGGAAACATGCGCAAGGCAGGGCCAGCTCTCTCTGGGACACCCAAGAACATGCTCGGAGGAGACCAGTGACAGAGCCTACATGTGGGTAATTCCTGATCCCACACAGAAACATAATGCATCCACCTTTTCATTCACAGAAGATTCCAGAATCCCTGCCTTTGTGAAGCTTACTTTGTAGTGGGGGAGGCAGACAATAAGCCAGTTGATGACTGTGATAAATAGTTCAGCAGATCATGGTGGGTGCTGAGAGCCAGCACCAAGGAAAAGGGGTGGGGTTGTGATGGGGGAGGGGTGCTAAGTTGAACTGGGCCCGCGTTAGGGCACCAGCCCTCCCCCACGTGACCCAAGCACTGCCAAGAGCTGCTGAGCTGAGCAAACGGCCTCCTCTGGGACCCTAACCCTTGGCTCAGCGCCCCTGACTCAGAGGCCAGGCTGACAATGAACTTGGGCTCTCAAATGATCCCCTATGTCAGAACACAAGAGTCATTGGGGATGGGGGACAAAAGGCCCGACTCCCAGGTTCCACTTAAGAGAAGAGATGGACATTCAGCAGCGGGGGCCTGGGAACAGCAGTGTTGGGGCGCATTCACTCGTCCTGGATAAACCTGGGGCCCTTTGCAAATCGCCCTCGCCTACGACGTCTCTCTCCAGCGACACACAGCAGCTGGCGAGACCTCTACCTTTGGTGGGCTGAGCAGAAGTTGGTGGAAGTCCTTCAGCCGTGGCTCAATGCCGTGTAGGATGCTGCCACTGACAGTGCACCACCTTTCCAGCCCCTGAGAAAAGGAGTCCGCCAAGCCCTCTGACCTGTGGATGAGAGACAGGACGGGCCCCAGTCCTGGGTCGCATCTCACTCCCCGTCCAACAAACATCTCCACTCATCATCTCAAGGCTGGTTTGGTGGCGAGTACAGGGAGCAGCAAAGCACCCAAGGCCTTTAGAAACTGTTCCCTGGTGACAGCCCAGAGCGCCACCTCGGCCCTGCCCTCAGGCCCACTCACTGTAACCACTCTGCCCGCCACCTCCTGCGTGAAAAATAGTCACAGTTGTCCCCACTTCTGAGAAACAGGGTATAGTACCAGCCCACAATGTCCCTCTGGTTTTTTCAAGCTAATTTCTCAGATCTTTATTGAAATACTTTCCCAATTATTGGGTTGTCAGAAAAGTCATGATGCATTTTTGCAACGAAAAACAGAAAAACTACGTCATGACTTTTCCGACAACCCAATATAAAAGAAATGCTAGACGATTAGAGAAAAAAATTTAAACACATAGGGCCGGCTGAGTGGCATGCTGGTTAAGAGCTGGCTTGGGACGCCAGAGAGCCCGGTTCAGATCCCACATATGAGGGTCAGTGACACTGCCCTCCACAGCTAAGATGCTGAACAGCTGCTCAACCCAGAGCTAGGCTGCCATGAGTTGCCGGCGATGGCGTAGGCTGCAGCCCCTGCTGCAGTGGGTTGCCATGGGCTATCGTGTGTAGCCAGCAGCCAGCGTGAGCGGCCGTCCAGAAGCAGGCAACTGATCGGCCTCGCCCGGGAAGAGCACAATGATGGTGCCAACTTGAGCCAGTGAAGCAACGTCCTCCACAACTAGACTGAAGAACAAAAGGACAGCAACTTGTCTGTTTCCCTTTCCCCAACTCTCCAAATAAAAATCTTAAAAAAAAAAAATTAAACACATAAAAGGATTAAAAAGCACAGGAGTCATCTGGCTCATCTATTTCCCTTTATCAATGTGAGGCTGGGCGGGGCCCTGAGAAGGGTCCCCACTCCCCACAGAGAGGGGCTCGGCCCGGTGCACGGAGACAAAAACATCTGTGTTTTGGTTGCTTAAGTGGAGAAAATGATGGTAACATCCTAATTCTGTATTTAGATAATAAACTAATAAATACGTATTGGGTACCAGAGAGAGAGTGAAAGAGAGAGACCGCGAGAAACTGTTAATAATCTCATGACGGAGATTAAGACAATTTGTCATTTTCTTGTTCTTTTTTCTTTCTTTTTAAAAAAGAACAGGCTATCAGTGCTGGGGCTACAGTGATGTTCCCTCCAGCAAAGGAAACAGGCACCACAGTCACCTTGGGTCAGACCACTGCCAAGCACGTGAGGGGACAGAGTGGAAAGAAGTGTGCACATAGACACACGCACACACCCACCCCACACACACCCTGTGCCCCCACACATGTGCACATATATACACACACATGCACACATCCATCCTGCTCACACCGTGCTCCACACGTGTGCACATATATATACACACACACAGCACACCACACACAAGTGCTATGGGGACTCGTTGGGACACTCCCTGGGGAAACCCACCAGGCTCCCCTACTCCGCCGATGTGTCTACATACAAGCGACTATAAGCGCCTTCGGGCTGAGGCGGGGGTGTGACTGATGGTGAATCAGGTCGAAGGGGGTGGGCCACAGCCATGAAGTTTATCTTCGCAACAAGGAGGCCTAGCCACATGATTGCTGTGTAACTGAAAACTAGTTAGAAGCACCACACGCCAGACAAATCATCAGAGCCATGTGTCACGGGGTGTCATGTTCAGCTGTCATGCCCAGTCTCCCCTCCTGAGAGGCACTCACCCAGCCCGCCTGGCTTCCAACAAGGTGAGCAACACCTGTGTCCCGCTGACGAGGCAGCTCTCAGTCTGGTCACCATCGAACATGTTCCTCAGAAGCTGCTCCACACAGTCCTGCCTGTCACACACACACGGGTCACCGCCCGGCGGGGAAGATGGGCAGACGCAAGGCCCATGGACTGTCTCTCCTCCCCGTGGACAAGCAACACCCTGAAACCTGGAGGACTTGGCTCAGGCTCCAGGCCAGGCTCCCCGGGTGCTCACGCCGCTCCTGACCCCTGGAGGCCCTCCACCTGAACTGTGGGGCAGGGCGAGCATCTCACAGCCAGCTCACTACACCTGAACCACAGGCGGCAGCTGTGTCGCCGGACTTCAAAGCAGGGCTCGGGGACGTCCTCACACTGCAGGGGACCCAGCACCCACCCCGCCAGGCCCAGCAGCACCGCGGCCACACTCACGACTCCAGCACTGCGAGGAGGGGGTCGGGCTCCGCGGTCTCTTGCAGCTGGCCGCCCTGCTCTCTGCCCAGCCGGATGATGTCACAGAGGGTCTGGGAAGCATTGGACTGCCTCTGGAAAGACAGGAAGCCGGGACACACGTTGGCAGAGCCAGCCTGCCACACAGTCGGGTGGCCCCTGCCTGGTTCTCTGCACGATGCTGGGCTCTCTCTCACCCCATACTCACGTCTTCGTCCTCACTCGGATGGATCAGCTCCACGAGTCTCTGGATGATCTTCTCTTCGTTGAGCCACTGAAAGGGAGGAAGAGGCCTGTCTGAGAGGCTGCAGACACCCACGTGAGAAAGTCCAGGGCGCCAGCCTCCACGACACACGTTCTCTGCCCGACATGTGTGCCAGCCCAGGCCCAAAAGAACAAGCAGTGACTGAATTCTGGAGTGACCCCCAAGTTTATAAAGGAGGGAATCACTGTCCACACATCCTAATGGTACAGGCTGTTAAACATCCGCAAGCTCTGACTTTGGGACGTCTGGAAAGACAGCACGAGCTGGAGCCCGGGGCCGCCCGAGCACCGAGCACCGAGCACCGGTGGTGCTCTCCCAGTGCGCACGGTCAGCGGGATGCGGAGGCCCGCTCAGTCTCTGCCCCTGCGGCGCGCAAGGCTTCCCAAGACCAGGAGTAGAACATGCTGGCGAGGCCACAGGAGACTGTGAGCACTGAAGTCCCTGGCGCCGGCCCAGATCCACAGGTAACGAGGGACCAGGCTGCCCAGCACACCTGCTCACACACGGCGGGGCGGCCTGCGCCCCAAGACGGCTCCGCAGCTGGTGCCGGCTTCCCACTCACTCTACAGAGCAGCTGACGTGTGAGCTGCGCTTGCTTAGGATGGGTTCTGAGTGGGGGCTCTCCACAGTGGGACCAGTTATAACCTATGACTGAGCGCAGTTGTCTCTTCATTACCGGAGCTGGAAAACGGGCAGCAAGGATCAACAGTCTGCAAGGCGAACAAAACCCGCCAACACCAGTGAACAGGGTACCTGGCACTGGTTTCCTGTGCTCCTGTGGGCAGAGAACCCGCCCCTTCTGGGGAAGCCCTTGGGGGCTCCGGGCAGGTCCTCTGGCTGTGAACACCGGGCAGGCCAGACAACAGCACGCACTCTCCATGACACAACAGACCACCTGGGTCTTTGCCATTTCTCTGCATGGCCAGTGCTCTCCTCACCGGCATGTGGCTGCAGAGCCAGCACCTGACCAAGCTGCTCGGAGGCCATGGGGGGGCTGGCGGGTGGTGGCGAGAACGCTCATTTCTGCACTTCACAGAGCAGGGGCCGAGTGCTGGGGGAGGAGGAAGCGCTCAGGACAGTGGGAAGGTGCAGGGTCCAGACCCTGCCTGACAAGGACCTGATGACCCCAAGGGAGAGAACCATGGGGTGGAAGGCAGGGGTGCGGGGCCCTGAGCCCCTCCACTGCAGCTGGCCTCCCGTGCCGGCACCCCCACACACACCCACGCACAGGAGACGGCGCGGAGAGAGCCACACTCACGTGCAGGACTTCCTGCCGGAGCCCGGCTGGCTCCACGCAGCTGACCAGGCGCAGCAGCAGGTCCATAAGGGCTGAGGTGCCGAGGTGCCGCAGCACCAGGCTGATGAACTTGTCCTTCTTCCGCAGGAACACTGTCACCTGCAGGCGAGCACCTGGTCAGCAGGCAGCGAAGGCTGGCCCCCACCGGCTGCTGCCCACGGGCCCTCGTGAAATCGATGAACTTTCAATTAGACTGAGCAGAGATTATGGAAAGGCCTCTGCAACAACAGGCAGTGGCCTGAACACAGGAGAGTTCCCTGGGGACACAAGGGACCCCAGCTGATGGAGGTTTGTGTGCAGCTGGGCCTTTATGTCAACGTGATACGAATACCCCGAGTGAGCCCAACAGAAAAGACCACCACAGACAGCTGAGCCGGGAGGCGACAGTCAGTGTCCACAGCCCCAGGTCACGGGGTGCCAACCTAGAGAGTATGCGCGCACAAGACAGCCAGTCGCTGACAGGCCCCGTGAGTGGTTGGAGGGACTGAGGTTTTAGAAAAGCAGCAGCAGTGATGTGTGGCTGGCTGGCGACTCATGTCAACAAAATGTGGACAGCCTAAGCATGAAGCCACTGGGGGCGTACAGGGAGCACAGCACACAGCACCCATTAGTGGGCTGCCCGGGAGGGGGCTGTAGGTGGGTGTGGAGATGAAGGTGAGGGCGCCTGGATGGAGGGCGCCTGGGCAGAGGCCTCCTTGGTTATGTATCTGCAAATCCAGCTCAGCCACAGAGACGAAGTGCCAGCATGCCCAGGCCACTGCGCTGAGGTGGACCCGGGCTCGACTGGGCACGACTCTGATCTATGTAAGGCTAGCCAATGCCGCCTAATCAAAATTTCACCCAGGGGGTGGGCAGAGGAGAAGGTGGAAACCAACTCGCCCTAAAGTAATGCAAAAGGCAAAAAAGAGTAAAAACCATCTTGGAGAAAAACAAAGTGAGAGGACCAGCCTGGGCTCTGGAGGCTATAAGAAGTCAGACAGTTGTGTTGGTGCAATTACAGGCAGGAGAGACGCACACGTGTCCTGATTTACGACAACGGGGCAGCCTGTACAGCGACCGAGGCAGAGCAGCCTGAGAAGTAAACGGCGTGGGGTCAACCGCGTGTGCATGTTTGAAAAAATACATCAACTTTATACCACTTACAAGAGTTAATTCCAGGTGGATTGTGGATGGAAATATGAAAGGTAAAACAATAAAGATTCTAAAAGATAATACAGAAGACTGTTTTCATGACTTTGAAGCAGGCAAAGGTTTCTTAACAGAACAAAGAAAGCACCAGCCACAAATAAAGAGAATGATGAACTGGACTGCATGAGAATCAGAGTCTTGCTTGTTACATACTAACGAAAAGTAAAACAGGCAAGCCAGAGCGGGACAAAATCAACAATGCATTTGTATCCACAAAATATGCAAAATTCCTACAAATCCCCAAAGAAGAGACAGCCTAGTAGAAAATGGGCAAGAAACTGCATAAAAGAACATATCCACGGCATTCACCCGTATTAGTCACCAGGGACGTGCAAACAAAAAGCACAATGCTCTACTGTATTGCCCGGACCCCAGAACGGCTCACAGAAAGGCTGACCATGTCACAGGTGGGTGTGGAAGGGGCAGCAGGAGCTGGCACGCTCTGCTGAGGGGGCTGCAAACTGGCTCAGCCACTTCCGTATCCACTCAAGCTGACCACACGCGTGTCTCATTATGAATGTATGATGTATAACACCACCACAGGCACCACTAAAAACCTGTTCTAACAAACACTACAGGTAAATCAAAATGAAAAACTTTAAACAGTCATGTAACCCATAGGAGGAAGGGAAAAAAAACCTGAGAAATGAAAAACAATGGGAACAAACAGAAAACTACAAGTAAAATGGCAGTCATAAGCCTTAACATCTCAATAATTACATTAAATTAAAAGGTCTAACTATACCAATTAAAGACAGGCCAAAAAAGTAGAAAAAAACCCATGACAAACTATGTTTTCTGCAAGAAATTCACTTCAACTATAACAATCCACACAAAAAAAGTATATACAAATGTTCACAGTAGCTTCGTTAACAGTCAAAAGAAGTATACACAACTAAGATGTTGTTCAATAGGTGAGTGGCTAAACAAACCATGGTCCATCCATACTATGCAATAACATACAGTGCTAAAAAGGGAAGTGTGATTAACTTGTAGAAAGAGTCCTTATCTTATAGTCTTATAGATGCACATACTGAAATCTGGGATGGGGGTTGGAAATAAGGGGTGTAGAAGAAATAAGATTGCTCATGAACACATAATTGTTAAGCTGTGTGACAGAGGCATGGGAGAAACCATCTTCTCTAACTTATAAACGTTTGAAATCACCTATTGTATAATGAGGAGTTAAGAGAATGCTGGAAGTCCTCTCTATGGGAACACGGGAGGAACACTTACTGTAGCTGTGATATTATGATTTGTTAAAATATGTGTTTGCCCCCGCTTCCATTTCTGGCTCACAGGTCTTAAAAACCTTGGAATTTCCTAAGTATTGATTGATAAGTCTTTTGTTATGTTAATGAGGTGACTTTTGGACCCGGCCCAAGGGTGGGGGGCTGGCTGCCCTCTGGAGTCTACAATGTGGTTGGGAGGCTAGAACGTTCAGTCCCACCACCCTGGGTTTCCAGGGAGGGGACAGCGACTGAGGTTGACTCAGTCACCAACGGCCAATGACTCAGTCAATCATGAGTACATGTGAAGCCGCCAAGGAAACCCAAAAGGACACGTCAGCCCTTCATTGGGGAAGCAGAACGCTTCCACGTGCAGCCGTGCGGGACCCCAGACTCCAGGAGACAGCGCCTTCGTTCAGGGCCTGCCACTACGGTCTCTGCTTTAGGCTCCTGATTCGTATGCATCCTTTGTAATCCAATCAGTCAGTAGTCTAGTGAGGTCATGGGTTTTCCTAGTTCTATGAGACATTCTAGCAAATTAATCGAACCCAAGGACAGGGTTGTGGGGACCTCTGATCTACAGCCAGTTGGTGAGAAGCACAGGTGACAACTGGGCTTGGGGCTGGCATCTGAAGTGGAGGGGGGTCTTGTAAGACTGAGCCCTTCGCCTGTGGAATCTGGTTCTATCTCCAGGTAGACAGTGTCAGAATTGAGTTGAAAACTCAGATACCTGCTGGCACCCGAGAATTGTTTGTGGGGAAGCGTCTGCACACACGTTGGAATGGGGTCCAGGAACCACTTTTCATCGCCCTATGACAGCACACTGTGAAAACAAGCCAACTCCTGGATTACGGGTCCAAAACACTGGTGCATCAAACAGAGCCACTGTGTTTCTAGAACAAACATGGTAGTTCTACAGGAAAAAATGTGCTACATCTGTTTTTTTTTTTTTAATTTTATTTTATTGGGGAGTTGGGGGGAGGGGAACAGCGTTGGGGAATCGGAGAAGGGGAACAGACAAGTTGCTGTCCTTTTGTTCTTCAGTCTAGTTGTGGAGGACGTCACTTCACTGGCCCATGTTGGCATTGTGATCATTGCGCTCTTCCAGGGTTAGGCAGTTGCTCGCGGGCCATTGGATGGCTGCTCACGCCGGCTGTCGGCAGCTCACACTGGCTGCCGGCCGCTCACACTGGCTGCCGGCCACTCACGGTAGCTTATGGCAGCCCACTGCCACAGGGGCTGCAGACTCACGGGAGCCCAGCTCCAGGTTGAGCTGTTGATCACCATCTTAGCTGTAGAGGGCAGTGTCACTGGCTCTCATATGTGGGATCCGAACCAGGGCCCTGCTGCTCAGAGCTGGCGTCCCAAGCCAACTCTGAACCAACGCGCCACTCGGCCAGCCCATGACGTCTACTTCTAAGGGAAAAAAGCAATTTGCGATATTCTGCGTATAATGCCAGTATGGGAAAATAAATAAAAGTACAGCTGACCCTTGAGCAACATGGGTTTGAACTGCACAGGTCCACTTATACATGGATTTCTTTCAATAAATACATGGGAGATATTTTTGGAGATTTGTGACAATTTAAAAAACTCATAGAAGAATGGTATTGCCTAGAAATACTGAAAAAATTAAGAAAAAGTTAGAATGTCATGAATGCATAAAATATATGTAGACACTAGGCTATTTTATCATTTTCTACCATAAAATATTTGTATACACAAATCTATAAAAAGTTAAAACTTATCAAAACACACAAACAAGACCATATATGAGGCCATTCACAGTAGAGAGGATGTAAATAAACGTAAAGGTGCAGTATTAAATCATAACATAAAGTTAACTGTAGTGCATACTATGGTAATGACTGACTGTAGTACACATTGTACTACTGTAATAATTTGGTAGCCACCTCCTGTTGCTATTGCCATGTGCTCAAGTGTTTCGAGGATCCGCTTACAATGCTAGTGTGACGCTAATATCTCCACATGAGTTCGTCTCTCCAGTAAGTTGCATATGGCAGTGAAAAGCAATTTCTCATGGGTCTCATGCATCTTTCATCGTGTTTAGTGCAATACCGTAAACCTTGAATAATAGCAAGGGACCCATACGAAGTGCCAACAGTGATGCTGGAAGTGTTCCCAAGAAAAGTCACAGCATTAGAAGAAAAAGCTGAATTGCTTGACACATACTGTAGACTGAAGTCTGCAGTGGTAGTTGCCTGCTATTTCAAGATGAATGAATCCAACGTAAGGTTATTGTAAAAAAAGAAAAGGAAATTCGTGAAGCCATCGCCACAGCTACACCAGCAAGCTCAGAAAACTTGCACTTTTTGCGAAATACCTTTATCTCATGTTGAGAATGCCGCTTTTATGTGGGTGCAGGATTCCTAACGCAGGTACACCTACAGACTAATATGATTCGAGAGAAAGCAAAGTCATCATGTGACAAAGCAAAAGGAAGGTGAAGGGTCTAAAGCTGGAGAATCTAATGCCAGCAAAGGATGGTTTGATAATTTTAGAAAGAGGTTTGGCTTAAAAAATGTCAAGATAACAGGAGAAGTAGTTTCTGCCAACCAAGATGCAGCAAACAAGTTCTCAGATTAATTAAGAAAATCAATGAGCAGAAAGAGTATTTTCCTGAACAGCTTTTTAATGCACACAAAAGTACCTTATTCTGAAAAATAAGCCACAAAGGACATTCCTTAATAAGGAAGAGAAGCGAGCACAGGATTTAAGGCAGGAAGGGATGGGCTAACTCTACTGCTTTGTGCAGGACGGCCCTATCTATTGGGTTGTCAGAAAAGTCATGATGCATGTTTGCAACAGATGGCACTAGTTCATTTTTGGAAATACTAATCATTCACATCTATGTTATTGCTATGTCATTTGACAGCTGAGAGTTCTAGCTTCATTCTAAAAAAAAAATTGAGCAATTTGGTTGAGTTTTGGAGATTTTACAAGTTGAAGATGGAAGACCAAACTCTGCATTTTTGCCATATGTTATGGTTTTACTTCCATAAAGGAAAGAACACGCATCAAGCTTGTGAAAAGTTACATAAAATTTACGGTGACAATGCTCTATAAGAACATCAGTGCCAACGATGGTTCACAAAATTCCATTCTGGTGATTTTGATCTCAACGATGCTCCTCAGTCAGGGAGGCCCAATCGAGGGTGAGGACGACAAAATAAAGGCACTGATCGAGTGAAACCCATGTTATACATCACGAGAGATTGCAGAAACATTGAACATCCATCATTCAAGCATTCACGACCACCTGAAGAAGCTGGGATATATGTAGGCAAGCTCGATATTTGGGTTCCGCATGAACTTAAAAGAAGTTCATTTGACGGCGCGTATAAACATCTGCAATATGCTCATTAAACGTGAGAAAAATGATCCTCTTTTGAAGCGACTGATAACTGGTGATGACAAGTGGATTGTTTACAACAATGTGGTGCGCAAATGGTCTTGGTCCTGATGTGATGATTCGCCTCAAACGACATCGAGAGCAGACATTCATCAGAGGAAGGTTATGCTCTCAGTGTGGTGGGATTTTAAAGGTGTCGTTGTTTTTCGAGCTCCTACCAAGGAACCAAATAATCAATTCGAATGTGTACTGTCGGCAATTGGACAGTTTGAATGAATCCATCATCCAGAAATGTCCAGAGCTTGTTAATTGTAAAGGAGTTGTGTTCCATCACGACAACGCGAGACCACACACAAGTTTGATCACCCATCAAAAATTATTGGAGCTTGGATGGGATGTGCTGCCACACCCACCATACTCGCCTGACCTTGCGCCGTCAGACTTCCATTTGTTTCGCTCTCTTCAAAACTCCTTGTTTGGTTGGGGCAGGCCGAGTGACTCAGTTGGTTAAGAGCTCGCTCAAGAGTTTGAGCTCTGAGCAACAGCAGTTTGAGTCTAGCCCGACCTGAGCAGCCGCTGAGCTGCCAACAGGTAGCAGGATGGCTCAGCTAAAAAAAAACAAAAAAAAACTCCTTGTGTGGTATAATGTTCACTTCAGATGAGGCTGTGAATCAGCACCTTGTTCAGTTTTTCGCAAATAAAGACAGGTCCTTCTACGAACGAGGAATTATGAAGCTCACTGAAAGATGGCAAAAGGTTATTGAACAAAACGGGCAATATATCATTGATTGATCTTTGTTCTTTATATAAATAAATGACCTTAGAAAAACATACACAAAACACGTCATGGCTTTTCCGGCAACCCAATATAAGCTGCTGCCCCCACCCTCCGAGCCTGGAAAGGAAAGGATAACACCAGCTGCCAGTCTTGGCTGTACAACGAGGACCCTTTTCCTGGACTGGTTCCATCAATGCTTTGTCCTTGAGGCCAGGAAGTGCCTGGCCAGAAAGGGACTGCCTTTTAGTCCTTTTGATGCTGGACGGTGCCCCTAGCTTCCCAGAACCCCATGACTTCCAAAAAAAGGCACTGAAGCGACCTACTTGCCCCAAACACGACATCTCTAACTCGGCCTCTGGCTTTGGGGTCATAAGGACTTCAGGGCTCATCACACATGGTCACTATGGGAAGGATTGTCCACACCATGGAAGAGACCCCGACAGAGAGAACATCATGGAAGTCTGGAAGGATCAGACCACTGAAGGTGCATCGTTGTTACAGAAAAAGCCATGAAAGCCATCAAGCCTGAAACAACAATAATTCTTGCTGGAAAAAAACCGTGTCCGGATGCTGCATCACATCACAGGATTCACGACAGCCCATCGAGGAAACCATGGTGTGGATGTGGCAAAAATGTGGGGGGTTAAAGGGTCTCAAGATATGGATCTTGGAGAAATTCAAGAGCTAACAGCCACCACACCAGAGGAATTAAAGGAGACGACTTGGTGGAGATGTGCGCGTCCGAGCCAGGGCCAGGCGATGAGAAGATGACGGAGAAACAGCAGTGCCAGAGAGCAACTGACATTAGGCAGTCGGCAGGAGGAAGCCGATCGCTCCGGGCTGCCTCGGACTGCTTTTACGACACGGGCCCTTCTGACACGGGCACTGAAACTACAGCAAACCGTGGAAGAAGGAGTGGGACCACACAGAGACATTTTTAGAGAAATCAAAAAGCAAAATGTAGTCCCATAAAGTGACACCGAGGGTACCTGCCTCTCCCGCCTCCTCTGCCTCTGTGCCCTGAGACAGCGAGACCAGCCCTGCCCTCCCCCTCCTCCCGCTCAGCATGAGGGTGACAGGAGAACAGGACTTTCTGGTGACCCACTTCCACGTAGCGAGCAGTCAGTGCTCACTGGGGCACCTGCTGTGTGTGTGAGCATCTTCATGTGAAAATCTAGGAACTGTGTGTCATCAGCACCATCGCCTAAGTATTCATCACACAGCACACAGGCTACGAGACAGTGGAGTGGACAGCCTATTCTTAGCAGGCGTAGGGTGAATGACATGTAGTATGAAATTAATGACCTGTTAGTTTTCTTACTGGTTATAACTTTGCTTTGAAATTGTTACAGTACCGTGCAGCACACCTGTTATAATTAACAAAACTGCATACCAGCCTAGCACCACCGTCTCAGAGCTCCAGAGACATACATGACATATCGGTTTGCTCCCTGACTGCACATCTGATATTAAATGGGCATGGTTACTATTCCGGGGTGGGACAGTGTAGTCACTCAGCAATGTCCCATCCCCTCCTAGTGCAGAGTCACATCAAGGAGAAAGAAAAGTCCTTATGCTTTAGAGGTACAGACTGGAATGTTTACAGAAGGAATGCTATTGCCTCTGGGGTCTGTTCAGAACTAACCCACTGGGGATGGAGGGGAGGGGACAGAGGTGGGAGGGGGCTGGAGGGACTGATTCCTGAGCTGCTGCCCACTCCGCGTCCAGAGTGCACAGGAAGAAGCACGCGTCAGGCAGAACGTGAGGCAGGAACAGGTGCAGACTCCAGCAGGTGAGACACAGTCACTCACGACTCTGACAGAAGCCTATTCCTCCAAGTTTTATTTGCTTTGAAATAGAATGTGCCCCTGACACGTGGTCACCGGCCACCCACACAGATGGAGCAACGGGCTGAGAAGGTGGGCATCCTACCATCCTGCCATGATGGCATGTCCCTGGACTTCATGCCTGTGACTGGTCGGTGACAGGATGAGCTGGCCTAGTTCCCAGGGGTGGTGGGAACTGCTGCGCAGTCCAGAGCCGACCAGCAGAAGTACCTTTTGGGGAGCCAGCACGCATACCAGCAGCCCACCTGCTCCAGGTGAGTCCCAGGGAACACTTGGGAACACTGCTCCCCAAAGCCCGAGGACATGGTCGTACCAGCCATCCCAAGCCATATGCCATGGCAGTTTTACCTGCTCAGTCTTTCTTGCAATGAGGTTTCCAATGGTCTTGCTGAAGAAACTGGCAAGCAGAGGGTTGAGAGGTGGCTCCCGGTCCAAAAAGTCATAAAGAAGGTTCAGCAAAGTCTCGTCCCCTCCCAGTCTGTCGTTGATCTGCGGCACGTCACACGTCAGCAGCTCACAGGCCGTGTTTGGGTATCTGAAAGGGCACAATGCAAGCAAGTGGAGGTGCAGTCAGACTTCTTTGCCCCCCTTAGGAAGCAGGTCCATGGGTAAGAAAAAACACTGCAAGACCCCGGAAGAGAATGGAAACGGCCTTTGTCTGGCCCCTCACACCTGCGCCCTCCCTGGCCTCTCTCCTCCTGCACCATCACAGCACCCCCCACCTGTCCTCGCCCCTCCACGCCCTTCCTGTCCCTACATACCAACAAGCACAGAGCCGGCTTGTCCCTAGATTGAAGAAATGCTGCACCCGCAGCTTACAGTGCGCACCAGCTATGAGGTGATGTGCAGGCGAATCACTAAGCAATACCCATGTATGTAAACGTCATATAATACTCGTCTGATAAAAACGCCTGGCTACAGAAGAACCCTCGTACCGTGACATGACCATGGCCCCTGCTCCCCACTGACAGACATGGGCTCACTGCTGTCGCCCCGAGACAGGCACGCCTCCCCACCAACCTGCCACATCCAGGACAGACTCCGCGACCACAGTGCCAGGAACAATGCCCAGTGCCACATCTGGGGACATGTCTAGGGATGCAGTGAGGGCACCAGGCCCAGAGAAGGCAGGGACCCAATGGGAGCACCCTGTGAGGCTGACTGGGGACAAGCTGTGCAGCCTGAAGCACATGACCTCACCTCTCTGTGTCCGGGCTTCCTCGTCTGAGAGTGGAGGTGTGAGCGCCCACCCTCCCCGCAAGGCTGGAAAAGCAGGGCAGTGCCCGGCACATAGGAAGCCCTGGGTCAAGGTCAGCACTATGGCCCTCCTGCTCCTGGTAGCCACCATCACCGGCCCCAGCGTGGGCCTCACCCAGGCGGTCACTGTGGATCGGCTCGAGGGGCCTGGGGTTGGGGGAGTATGGACAGGGAGCCACGGGGTCTCAGTCTGGCTGTGGAGTGGTGTCCTCAGCAGCCCACAGAAGAGGGCGTCTTCTAGAGCTCAAGAAACAGTGCCGCGTGCAGGCAGGGGCGCGAGAGGCCTGCCGGGCACAGGAGGCCCAGCAGCCCAGTTCACCAAGCATGTCCGGCTACGAGAGGGGCCCTGACACGGGCATGGTCAGTCCCAGGGAAGGGTGGCCAGTGCCCTCATCATGGGCTGTTACAAGGGTCTGAGAGATGGCTCAGCGCAGTGGACGTGCACTGTGACAGCTAGCATGGCAGACACTGGACGGCCGCCGGGAGCAGGCCAGAAGAGACCTGCCTGGAGTGCAGGCCAGGGCAAAGCTCCGTGATGCGTCACGCAGGCAGAGAGAGAGGTGCCCAGCGGACTCCAAACCAGAGAAGACGCATGAGCAGCAGGAGAGACTCAAGCCCCAGAGAAAAGCACAGACCACGCCCCCCAGGGCCCTGCTGCAGAGGGATGTGATTTTATCAGGATTTTATATGGTTCTTCAAAAAAAAAAGGGACTGCTTCAGGAGGCTACACAGTTTACACAAGGAATAGAAATCCAGTTAAACATGCAAATCAAACATATGGGTTTTCACCATTCCCTCTCCAACCTACTCAAATAATGTGAAGAAACAGGTGAGAAAAGTGGAAATGACTCTGGGCGAGGCCTGGAGGATGGACAACGGTGGTCTGGTAAGGACAGTCTGGTGCCCAGGGAGGTCTGAGCCCCAGCCAGTCATGGGGGGGGGGAGGCGCCAGCTAGAACACAGGTGCCTGGCTGGCTGGCAACTCTGGAGAGCAGTGATACTCGCAGCCCCTCCCTTGCATTCCTCGCACAGGACTCAGAGGTTTACTCTCTGGAAAAAGTGAACCAGAGCAGCTTCCGACTCAGGGATGTCAGGCACAGCTGAGGGTATGGGGGGGGCCACTGTCCAGAAATAGGGTTCCTGATAAAAACAACACTGGGGTGCCCCTGCCCCTATTCCTAACTCAGGGTACTGATAGGTCGATGTCCCACTGGTGGGAGCTGGAAGGATTCTCCTCTGGAAAAACTGATGGGACAGAGAGAAAAATCAACTAGGTGCCATCTAACCAAGCAGCTGGCACCAGTCACTCACAGTGTAGCGGGGTGAGCAAGCCCCTCTCAGACCCCAGACTCTGCGCAGGCTTTCATGCCTCTCCTTTGAAAGCGACACAAGTGCTAATCAAACAAACAGCCAGAAAACGAGTCACGCAGGACAGAGAGTGCAGAGAGCAGACAGAAACTCCCTGCAACACGGGGTCCACGGACAAGAACGCCAATATTTCAAATGTGAGAATAAGACCTCTTGGAAGTTAAAAATATGATGGTAGGGCCGGCCGAGTGGTGCATTGGTTAAGAGCTGTCTTGGGACGCCAGAGGGGCCCGGTTCGGATCCCACATATGAGGGCCAGTGACACTGCCCTCCACAGCTAAGATGCTGAACAACAGCTCAACCTGGAGCTGGGCTGCTGTGAGTCGCCAGTGACAGCGTAGGCTGCAGCCCCTGCTGCAGTGGGTTGCCATGGGCTACTGTGTGTGGCCAGCAGCCAACGTGAGCAGCCGTCCAGAAGCCAGCGACTGATCTGCCTCGCCCGGGAAGAGCGCAATGATGGTGCCAACTTGGGCCAGTGAAGCAACGTCCTCCACAACTAGACTGAAGAACAAAAGGACAGCAACTTGTCTGTTCCCCTTCCCCCAATTCCCCAGCGCTGTTCCCATCCCCCAATTCCCCAATAAAAAAATCTAAAAAAAAAAAAAATGGTAAGAGTATTTAACATCAACAAAAGGGCAGAAAGATAAAATGTGAAGCAACCTCTCAGATGCAGAACAAAGAGGCAAGGAGAAGACATTAAGAGCAAAAACAAGAAGTACTAATTCAGAGGTGGGGGGTGAACCCCGGTGAGCAGTCCCAGAAAGAGAACAGAGGGAACAGTGGAGGGAGGAACTCACCACAGAAATAACACAAGCTTCTCTGTGATGAAGTCTGACAGGGCCCAGGAGCACCAGGCACACGCATGTTTCCCCGGTGCGCACACGTGAACACCGTCACAGCTGAGCTCACTTGCTCACAGACGCTCCCCGCCTTGAGCTCACAGTTTGCTCCTTGTTTTTGTTTACTTCCTTTTGTATTTATTTCTCACTATCGTCTCCCAGACTCTCTGACTATGAAGCTCACGTGAATTATTGGTGCCACTCTGGGATTTCCCTGGCTGATCCCGGGAATAATTTCACATCACTGGGAAATTCCGGAACAACAGGGTTAGAAAAGGACCTAAGTGCCCCCGTGGAAGAAAGAAAACAGGCCCCATGCAGAGGCCCAGGAGGCTCTGGCATCAGACTGGTCAGCAGCAAGGCGGGAACTAGGAGACAAGTCAAGTCTTCACAATTACAGCAGAACTCCAATCACAGTCTGCAGTCCTCACCGGAGGGAGCATAGACCAAGCAGGAGAGGAGAATGCACTCCAACAGGCCTGATCCCCAGTCACCACCCACGGGCTCCTGCTCAGGAAGCTTCGAGGGGAGAGGTTCCCCACAGGCAGGAGGCCAGGGAGAGGGAAACGTCCTGGACCCGGGAGCCAGGACAGAAGCTGCAGGAAGTGACGCAGAGCCCGCCTCCCTCTCTCCCTCCCTCCCTCCGTCCCTGCTGAGCTGCTCCCAGGGGCACCTGGGCGACTGCACTCAGCCAGGATATCCTCCCTTCTGCTCTGGCCGGCACACAGCAAGGCCTGCTTTGCCAGGTTTGGGGTGGGGGCTTCCCGGGGGCCCCAACCCAGCACCCCTTCCCACTGGCTGAGCAGTTCTGGCTGAGACACCCTCCCTCACCACTTCAGGAGAACAAAAGTGCTATCTTGGTGTCCAGCTGCTGGCTCTTTTGTCATGTTTCTCAAAGGATCCAGAACTTGGCAGGCAAACTGGGCAGGAACCTCGAGAAAAAGGCCAGGAGCAGCCTCACCGTTTCCAGGCTGGACCAGGTGGCCGGCTCCTCAGCCCGCAGCGGTGCAGCGGCCTCGGTGCCAAGAGCAGCCCCAGGCTTTGAGCAGGAACAGCACTGCTGCCCAACCTCGGCCCATCCAGGGGCAGCTCCCCCGCAGCGGCCTGGCTCGGGAAGAGCCCCCAGAGCCCAGCCTGCAGCCGTGAAGGCTGCGGCGACCCAGCGACACTGCCCAAGCAGGACATAGCAGGAGGTGCGGCTGCCCATCAGGCTGGCTGAGGTCAGGTCCCCTGGAGCCTTGAGAAGCACAAGGCACTGCCTCTGGACTCGGCTGCCCTCGCACAGCAGTCTGCAGCTTCTCACAGGAGGCCTCAGGGCTCAGCAGCTGCCAGAAGAACGTGCCTGCCTGCAGGCCCTCGGACGCTTCCACCTGAGAAGGCATCGCACCCGCTTCTGCCTATAGGTGCCACCTCTTCCATCCATCCATCGTTTCCTTTTCTCAAAAAGGAAGTTTTGATTTAATTTTAATTGAAATCAAGTTAATAAATTAAAGTTGTTTAAGTTGCTGACTGTTGCGTAAGTGACAGACACACAGGCTTTAAAGCACTCCCCTCAGGCTCTCCAGAGACGCTCCTGGCTCAGCAGCATTCTCTACGGTTTTCTCTACGGTTAATCTCCGTCTCTAAAGAGAACACATGCCCTTCTTCATCCCTGCATACAGGCAGGCTGGCCAGCCGTCCAAGGATGGGGGGAGGGTTCACCCCTCCCGCCACGGGCTGCCACTCCCTCCCTCACGCTCTGTGACTGACACCAGGTCTTAGTGGGATCCACATGCAGAGTTCGCCTTCGCGTGGACGTGCGGACACTGTTTACAGCTCAGCCCACTGTTCACTCAGCTTACGTTCAAGTCCCCAGAGTTCACGGCTTCATTGGTGCTCGGTCTGTCCTGCTTTGTACCTATCTACTGCCAGCCTCTCCCCAACAGTGTCCTGGCTCCTCGATGCCGCTCCGGGGCCCTCTGCCCCCACCCCTACTCTCCTCCCCATCACACCTGTCACCAAACAGGAGACATTTGGGAGTAACAGGGAGAAAGGGATGGGGCTGTGTATGGTGACGCTGACACCTGGGCATTGACCAGGGGCGTCCCCCACCACGGCCTCCAGCTGACCTTCCACACACAGTCGCCGTGGCCCCAAACCCCTGGCTCCTCCCCGAACAAGCCCTGTGCCTCGCTCTCCTCCCCAGCACTGGCATGGCTCCCTTGTCAGGGGCCCTGACTGCCGCCTGGACCAAGCATGGCCGCCCCGCCACAGGCAGGGGGCCCGGCTCTGCTTTACTTTCCTTCTAGGACAAAGGTCAGCAACTTCCTGTAAAGGGCCAGAGTGACTTCAGATGCTCTGTGCCACGGCTGCTCCCTCTGTCCCCACGTTGCACCTGCTCAACGTGCCTGTGCTCTAGCAAGACTTTGTGGGCCATGAAATGTGACTTTGAGAGCATTTTCACATGTTACAAAATATTATCCTTCTGGTTTTTTTTAACCATATAAAACACAGACCCACCCTTAGCTTGCAGGTCACACCAAGCAGGGTTTGGCCTGTGGCCATGGTTGCTGACCCTGTTCTAAGAGGTCACCACCACGCCCGTGGGGCTCCCTGGGGGGCTCCCTGGGGGGCTGTGAGCGCCAGAGGGCTGCCTGTCTGTCCTGATGAGCCTGCTCAGGCCGCAGGAGGCACCCTCAGAGCCAGAGGCTGTGACTGCTCAGCCTCTCCTGCCACCCAAGGTCCCTGCTCGTTCACTCCTGGTCCTCACCCCAAGCCCTTGCCACCACCCCTCCCTTCCCTTCTGTCAGCTCCTAACATCCTGGCAGCTGCTGAATGGAACATTTTAGAAAAAACTCTGAGAATGGTCACGAGTGACGTGACGCTCCCGGGCGAAGCACTTCAAGTCTCTCAGGCTGGGGCCCACTTCTTGCCGGCGGCGCAGCCAGTCGGTCGGTCAGGCCCCACCGGCAGCTCTGTCCTGGGATCTGCCCTCGTCTTTTAGCATGTTGTCACCCAAAAGACTCCACACACAGCATAGCTCACTATAACTCAGAATGAAAGAGCACACACACAGAGGCTCCAAAAGCATAAACATCACGAAAGCAAGCCCCGCAGGGCGGCCTCCTCACTTCTCAGGAGGGCGGCTGCTTAAGGAGGCTCCTCCACCAGGAAGCCCTAGTCTGGCCGTCCTCCAACACTGCCCGCTGCCTCCCTGCAGCACCGCCCAGCGCCGGCCCCGGTCACGGCCTCAGTACATACTTGAAGCGGACCTTCTCTTCCATGTCCAGGGGCGGGTCCTGTGTGATGAGGCTCACCAGCTCCTCCATACACTGCTGCCTGCACAGGAAGTCCAGCAGCTTCCGGTTCTGAGCCTTGCACTCCTGCAAGATGTCATCTTCATCCATTAACTCACGCAGTGTCACGTCCTCCTTATCCAGCAGCTTGTCGACATGGGACGTGGTGTTCAAGTCAAACTTCCAGAACATGGTGACGGCCACAGAGCTGCAAGGAGGAGAAGAGGGTCACTTCTCCCCACCAGTGTGGACCCTCCCTCAGCAACTACACCAACGTCCAAGAAGCACATCCCAGACAGAGACCTGGGCCGCAGAGGGCGCTCCTCTCAGCTGGCAGGGACACCCAGCTCCGCTGCAGCTCAGGACCCCGCTGCCTTCTCGGGGTTCCCCTGGGGCTGCCCCACCTTCCTTACTCGCCCTTCCCAGCCTGACACTCGACCTGCTCCGGGTGCTCACACACTCCTTAGCTCCCTTAGAAGACATGTCTCCCATGTGTCAGACCAGGGCGCCCCTCCACACCCACTAGGATGGTACAAAAAGACTAACAATAGCAAGTGTTGGCGAGGACGTGGGGCCATTGGAACTCCCTTGCACGGCTGGTGGGAATGCAAAATGGTGCAGCTGCTTTGAAAGAGTCTGGCAATTCCTCAAATGATTAAACACAGTTACCATGTGACCCAGCAATTCCACTCCTAGGCACAGACCCCAGAGACAGGAAAACGCTACTCACACAGAAACTCATACATGAAGATTCACAGCAGTATCATTCATCACAGCCAAAAAGTGAAAACAACCCAGATGTCTATCAAGGGATGAATGGATTAAAAACCGTGAAGATCCTTACAATGGGCTATTTCTTACTCAGTAATAAAAAGGAATGAAGTGCTGGTGGGTCTGAAGGCTGGATGGACCTGGAAAGCATGACACCCAAGTGAGAAAAGAGGCACAAAGACCGCAGGACATGGCGCCATCTCCATGAAATGTCTGGCACAGGCACATCTGGAGACAGACACACACCAGCAGCTGCCCAGGGTCGGGGAACGGGAGGCCAGGGGTGGAGACTCACTGATAGAGGCTGCAGGGTTTCTCTGGGGGAGATGAAAATGTTCTCAAACTGACTGTGGGGGCCGCACAACTCTAGTTAGTGAACACACTAAACTTCACTGAATTGCACACTTTAAATGGGGGCACTTTGTGGTATGTGAATGCATCTCAAAGTTGTTAAAAGAAACCTTATGTGTCTAAAACTAAATAACATCCCTAAGAAACCCTTAAGTTAAAACAGTGATTAAGAAATATTTACAGGGGCCGGCGGAGTGGCTCAGTTGGTGAAGAGCGCAAGCTCTGCGCAACAAACAGCATTGCTGGTTCGATTCCCACATGGGCCATTGAGCTGCGCCCGAGCCAAGCTGCCGCTGAGCTGACAACAGGTGGCAGGATGGCTCAGCTGGTGAGAGCACATGCTCCTAACAACAAGGTTGCCACTCCAACTCCTGCATGGGATGGTGGGCTACTCCACCCGCTACTAAGATTGAACATGGCACCTTGAGCTGAGCGGCTGTGAGCTGCCAACGGGCAGACAGATGGCGCCTGGACTTGGAGCTGAGTTAGCTGCGCCCTCCACAACTAAGATTGAAGGACAACAACTTGGCTGTTCCCCTTCCCCAATTCCCCAATAAAATCTAATTTAAAAAATATATTTACAATTGAATAATGAAAATACTGTATGTCAAAATTTGTGAGACATATCTATAAGCAGTACTTTAGAAAGTAGTGCATAGTTTTAAATACATTTACCAAAAAATAAGAATGGCTAAAACTAGACAAACTAAGCGATCAACTTTAGATGCTAGAAAAGGTCACTGAAACAACCAAAAGAAAAGGAAGGGTCAATATGATAACCTGAAATCGACAGAACAGGGACTTTACAAAGCGAGGTTAACGGAGCTGAAAACTGATGATGCTGTGAAAAACTGCTTAAACACACATTCTCCCATCACACCTGTAGGACTGGCCAGACCCTCAGGGGTGTCTGCACACAGGTGCAGGAGGTACCTCATGCTCTCAAAAGGAGACGACGTGGCAGCGTCCGCCGCAGGGCACCCGGGCCTGTCCGTCCACTGGCCCAGACCCCCCCCACATCCCTGCACATCCCAAAGGCCCTGGAGGATGATGCATGAAGCAAGCGGTGGGGACGATCACACGGTCAGAGACAGTGCACTTGACGGACACACGGCAACGTGGAGAAGCAATCCTAACAGGGTGGGGCTGAGTGAACAGAGGGTAAGAAGAGGAATCAGGTCCAGGACACCACCATCTATTTAATTTAAAATACACACACGACAAAGAACAGCATGTGTTGACAGGAACAGACACACAGCAGGGTGCACACTGCACCCAGCAATGGCTGTCCACCGGGAAGGGATGGAGACGCGAAGAAGAACCGAGCGTGCTCCCAGGGCCCAGGAGGGGCTGCAAAGGCCGGGCCTCCCCAGCTCGGGGGAAAGGCAGCAGAGCCACCCGCCCAGCAGGACTCCCTGGCTGCAGGGTCTGCGCAGCTGTGACACGGTCAGTGGACATCCAGCATGTTCCCCAGCAACTGGACCCACACAGGTCCCAGTTCAGATATCTACCTCAGCACTGTCCTAGCCTAGGGCTTTTTTTGGTTTTTACTTTTTAGGTTTTCTTGTATCTTTAACTACTTGGGGAAATTCACACATAACTAACAGTAGAGAGAACAGTACAGTGAGCCACACATGCCCCTCCCTCAGCCCCAATGCCATCGAGTCACGGCCCACCCTCTCCCACTCGGACCACTCAGAAGTACCCCAGACGTCGCCCCATTCTTCTGCCCAGGCTGACTCAAACCCCTGTCCCATTTGTTACTTTGCTGTAAGTCTTCCCAGATACCTGAACTGCCTTCCACGGAGGGCTTGGGTTTTCCCCACATGGGCAGCGCGGGCAGCGTCCTGTGGTAGGATGGTACAGACGCTGCGGTGGCCACTGCACTGTCCTATGGACTCAGTGTGATGCCTCACAACAGGCACAGGCCTGGGTCCACAGGACACAGGCTCCTCCTCGGCAGGGACGGTCACACATTCTATGCACTCCATCACACACTAAACACAGAACAAGTCTGTACAACAGAAACAAAGTTAAACCCAAACACTCATCACCATATTACTTGCTTACTCATAGGTTCTGTGATTTAAAACAACACACCAACTTAACATCTACTTATTTCCCCCTAAATTATGGAACAGAAAGTTCAGCAAGGATACCCACCCTGCAAAAGACAGCGAGACATTCAAGGGCTCCTGAGAACCCATCCCATCTGCAGGCTCCAGCAGACCAACTCATCTGCTCACGGAACCAAGTGCCGGGGGACCTGTCCGGAAACCCAGCCAGCTCACTAGCTCCACGACATTGGGATTTTGCAATCCAGTAAGTTTTTTTCTTTTAATTTAGAAAACTATGTTAGTTTTCTACATAGGGTTGCCCACTTATTAACTTTACAAAGCAAGGAGGAGGGAAGGAGGGAAAGAGAGGGGGAAAAAGGAAACACACAGGAGAAAAGGAAAAGAAAGGCCTTTAAGGATAAACTATCCTCTACAGTTACCTTAATTTCAGAAAACAAGGACTTTAAATATCAATAAAAGGAAAGCCATCATCTTAGGATTGAGGATAATGAATGACTCGCTTTGAAACAATATAGTTTTAAGAAAAACTCACTTCATCTCACATGTATTACAAATCAGCATTTGAGAACCTCTATTAACATTACCACTGACACTTGAAAAATTGGATTGTCAGAAAAGTCATGACGCATTTTTGCAATGAAAAACAGAAAAAAAACATCATGACTTTTCCAACAACCCAATAAAACTAGGTTCCTCTGAAAACCATTCATTTAGATTGTCTGCCCTACTAGATCCTATCAGCATATCCTGCTATGTCATGAAATAAAAAATGTCTGCATAACAACATTTCCGTGTTTCCATCAGCTATCAGTGCATTTTAAGAAACATTTAAAGATGACCACATCAGTAGCATCCTTTAAAAAGTTCATTGCAACGGCACTGGTTCAGCTGCAGCTAATTTCACTGGCAAAGGGACTGGTGTAAACTGGTTCTAGAACTTTACTCAGCTAACACTACAGACTTCTTTTCCAAAGGTTCCTCATGTCCCAGGAATATCACACTGCCCCCACAGGGAGCCAGCACCGTCCTGGCTGGCCCTACCACATGGAAGGCTCGTGTCCTGCTCCCCTATACAACCCAAAGGTAACCTTACAACCAATCACTGCTCGGCCAGCCCTGCTGACTGGAGGCGTCACAGGGGTTCCTGCCACACCCAACAACACCCTCCACCCTCCACAGTCTACCTGGATGCCAAGCAAAGCACCACCGATGTCTTCCAAACGTTTATCCAATAGCCAACGAACTTCGAGTTCTGCTTCTTTATTTACTTTTTCCGTGTAGCATATCCATCAGACAGAAGGTAGATTCCAAAAAGAAATGTCGCCCGTACGATCAGGTACGATGTTGCCATACGATCATATAGTCCCATGAACAGAGCCCTCCACAAAAGACCATTCTGAGGTAGAGACTGTTGCTAAGAGAAGTTAGAATCTGAAATGCTCCCTAGTGCCAGTCTGGTCACAAATCAGTTGGGTTGTTTTTTTAAAGTTCCTGATCAAAGTCCTGGATCTGCTGTGTGACCTGCGGCTGGTCATGTGACCTCTTATGCCTTGGTTTCCTCACCTGTAAACTGGGAACTGTGAGCATCCGTCTTACAGAGCTGCTGTGAGGACTGAGTTACCCCATAAAGAGCTTAGGACAGTGGCCGGCACAGTTTACCCTCTCACATCCTGACTGTAAAGAGAAGGAAGCAGAGACACGGCCCCCTTGCTGCCAGAATGGGTTCAGTGGAGCCGAGCGGCGTGCACTGCTCTCCAGGCTGACTGAGCGCCTCTCCCACAGCCACCTCCAGTGGCATCACACTGAGAGCTTAATCGAACATGACTGAAGTAGGTGCACTGTGGAAACTGACAAATGCTACAAACCAGGAGGTTTTCTTACTCTCCCCAAGAGCCAGCGGACAAACATTTACCGCACACCACTGGAATTCTATTTGGCCTGGATAAAATGGCAATGGGAGTCCACGGAGAACAGTGAATATTTGTAAAATCAACTGATAAACAAAAGA